GGGAAAAAAAAATTTTTTTTTCCCTTTTGGGGGGGGGGGGGGGGGGGGGCATGAATTTATTAATATGTTTGTGATCACACGATGAACAGACCTAGAGGATATAAGATTCCCAGTTGTTGCCCATCACTAATTTGACATTATAAATTCATCCTCACTTTTGCTCTGAAAATAATTTGTGATCTCCTCCTGAACCTGATTTCACTGATCCCTCTGCCTTAATTATATGGAAAAAGTAATCGTTTTAGCTGGTATAATAAAAGAGTAAGAGGTGTGTACCTATTAAGAAAAAGTCTTACTTGCAGTTACTGAGATAAGTGGTTTAATAGATTACACCAAACAAAAAGCAATGTTACTCTGCCATAGTTATTGCTAAAAGTAATTTTTAAAAACCATCTTTTAGTAACAACAAAAAAGAAAAAGAAAAAGACCTTTACTGTAATCTTTTACTCAGGACAGTTGTAGGTATGAGCTTAGGGAAGGGAAGAGGACCTAGGATCTAATCTTTTATTTGGCCTTTGATAGATGAACAAAAGGGTTTCTGGAAGGCATCTGATGGCCTGAAACCCATCCATTACACACTAGTTGACATCCAGTATTGTAAACAAGAATTCAAAGGATGTGAAGTTAAATGAGAGCTAACCCAGCAAGTGGTTGATTGAGACAGCAATCAACAAGTACTTATTATCTATTGCCTAGATGTTAGAGACAGGGTGGCAGATAGGGTCCCATGCCCTCAATTTAGTAGAAAAAAATAGACATTAAGTATTGACAAGAACAATGAAAGATACAAACTAGGCCCAGCCTAGGCAGGCGTGGTCATGGTCTGGCATGGTGGTGTGGTCAGACACATCTGAGCTCTCCACTTCTCAATTGGGTAACTTGCTCAACTTTCTGGAGTTTTAGTTCCTTTTCTGCAAAATGGATAAAATAACAGTACCTACCTCAGAAGGCTGGGAGGATGATATGAGAGAATGTATGCAAAGCATTTAGCACATTGTCTGGCACATGGTAAACACTCCTAGAGTCTTAGTGTTATTACTCCTTGACAAAATGCAGTTTAAGCTAAAATTCAAAGATGTGTAAGAGTTAGGTTAATGACTTCCAATGCTCAGTGCTGGTTTGTACAAAATTTTCTCTGATCTGGAGAGAAGTACATTTATCCAACAAATATTTATTGAGCACCTACTATCTGCAGAGGACCGTTCTAATGCAGAACTGAGGATACAGCAGTGAAGAAAACATGAGCCTTATGAACTAGGGACAATAAACAAGACACACTGTATAATAAAATTTATAATTGTTAGATGGTGTCAAGTATAAAGAAAAAGAAACATTAAAGGGATAAGGGCTGTGTACGGGGGTGGGAAGTGGGGCAGCAGTGAGAGTGTTGATCTTGCACAGGTGGCCAAGGAAGGCCTGACTGAGATGGAGACAGTTAAGTCAAGATCAGAAGATGCTAAGAGTACGGTGAACCCTGCACATCTGTCTGTGGAGAAGGATCAGCAAATGCAAAGCCTCGCACAGAGCAAGGGTAGGGAGAGGAGTACAAGAAACATCCGGCTCTGTGCTGTCCAATAACGATAGTAGGTAGTAGCCAAAGCTCCTTGAGCATTTGTCTGAATTGAAATATACTGTAGGTGGAAATACCCACTGAATTTCAAAGACTTAGCATGAAGAAAAGAATGTAGAATATCATTAATTTTTATATAGATTACATGTTGAAATAATAATTTGGATGTATTAGGTTAAAATTTAATTTACCAGTATATTTTATTTATCTTTTTAATGTGGCTACTAGAAAAATTAAAATTATGTACATGGCTCACATTATATTTCTGTGGGACAGCACTAGTTTAGAAACATAAGTGGCAGGACCTCCAGATCATAAAGTTTCTTATAAGTTATTGTATGTACTTTGGCTTTCAGTGTAGGGAGTCAGTAGAGACTTTTGAACCAATTTCTATTGAAGAGAATCCTTTGGCCAATGGATTGAGAAGGAATTGAAGAGAAGAGATTGAAGGATCAAGTGAAACAAAGAGCAGTTAAGACACTATTGTGATAATTCAGATAGGAGATGGTAGGATGGTAGCTTGTCAGACCAGTGGTGGTTGTGACAAGTGGTCAGAAAAATTAAGGACAATGTAGTGAGTTTTTATTAGGTTAAATTAGTTTAATTTAAATAATCTTATTTTATTTCTAGATTATGTCTTTTCTACTTTTTTTGAGGTAGTGGTTTTTTTTTTCAATGAAATTACAATGGTAGTATATGATAGTTATTTTGTTAGTTTTTAATGTCCTTACTTTACCAAATAAAAGGTTGGTAATCCCAATTCAGTATACACACCCCACTCTATTTTTCTTGGAATTTTATAGATTTTAAATTACAAAAGTCTGAGAACCACTAAACCTAACTAGGGAAGGGTAGAGTTGGGGTTTGAAGCAGTCCAGGTAGAAGAAACTAGAGATGTGAAACTCTTGGGCTGGTGAATATATGGAGGAGGGCAAAGGAGTTAAAGACTGTTGTTGGATCAAGCTGCAAGGGCAGGGCGGGGCCAGTACAAGAGCTTTTCACCTAGGGTACAAAGACAATTTCTCAGATGAACTCAAGTCATGAGGATAGCAATGGCCAAGAGAAGCCTACAAAAAAGGAATGTGAATTTAGGGAATAATTAGTAGTGGCTTCAGCTTTGCTGTTCTACTGAGATTGACACCAGAAATTATTCATTCTGTGTTATGTAGATAATCCATCACTTCTTCGACATTTGTATCCCCGTGCCTGGTTAGATTAGTTTGGAAAGATAAATTTACAGTAAGTGGTAAGCACATAATATGTGCTCAAAAACTGCTTGTTAAATTAAAAAATGAATTAAAGAATAATTTTTTTTAAAGTGGGAGGAATCAGAAAAATATTTAAATTTTTAGTACTCTAGATAATGGGTGAAAAGGTCTTATTCGTGGTGATGGAAAGCAAAGAATATTAAGTAAAGACTAAAGGAGAACCCAGGATTAAACTGTAAGTACTGAACCCAACACAGAAAAATAGTTACCAGAGGAAATCTTAAAGAATAATGAGCAATTCCACAGTGCTGAGAAAAAGTTTAAAGGAGAAATTCATTTTTTTCCTGAAGGTCTGCTTATTTTTTATTTCTTACCAAGTGAATATGGGAGCTGTCTGAAATTTTTCTTGGAGGGATTGAGAACTTAAATTGGTTGCACAGTTCAGAGGGTGTGGAAAGCAGATTTTGGATCTACGTGAGGAACACCAAAGAAATAGGGCAAAAGTGAGACAGAAGATGTGAAAGAAGGCACCTGGACCTCCACACGTGCAGTCTACTGGGTTACAGAGAGCCAACCAGGAGCAAGAAAATCTCTTAAAATGAAATAAATGGGAAATGGATTTTTATTGTAAAAGTTGTTCAAAGTAGGGAAATTTATTTGTGCAAAAAAAAAAAAAATTGTAAGGAGATAATGAGGAGAAAACCCCAAGAATCAATGTAGTATACTTTTTTTTTCTTTTGGCAGCTGGCCAGTTTGGGGACCCTAACCCTTGACCTTGGTGTTATTAGGACTATACTCTAACCATGTGAGCTAACCAGCCAGCCCATATACTCTCTTAAAACTTTTTTTAATGTAGTAAAGTATATATAACATAAAATTTCCCGTTTTAATCATTTTTAGGTGTACAGTTCAGTGGCATTAGTACATCTACATTATTATGCAATGATCTCTACAATCTCTCTCCAGAACTTTTTCATCTTCCTAAACTGAAACTCTGTACCCATTAAACATTAACTCCCCAAACCTGTCTCTCCCCAGCCTCTGTCAACCACTATTCTACTTTTTGTCTCTTTGAATATAATACTCTAGGTACCTCATGTAAGTGAAGTTATA